AGCTGCTCTTCCAATCGGCGGGCCTGTCCCTCCTGTCCGCTCTGCAGCTGCTCTTTCAACTGACGGACCTGTTCCTCCTGTCGGCGAGCCTGCTCCTCCTGTCGGCGAGCCTGCTCCTCCTGTCGACGAGCCTGCTCCTGCAGCATCACCATCAGAGCACCTAAGTCAGGTGCTGCAGATGTAGGAGCTACCGACGGGCCTTCAGCCGGTGGCTGGCCCTCCGACGTCTGCGGCGTTGCACCACCAAATCTTCGTTGGTCCGTCTCCTGCTGGCGTTGACTTCGGGTTCGGACACCCTCCGTTTCCTCCTTAGGTAAAATCGGCATGATTTAATCCCACTTCTGACACCAATTGTTACGAGCTTGAGGTTCGTGACAATAAAAATTGCCGATAAAATTACCTAAATTAACACTTTAATTTACTTTACACAATTAAAGTTAAAACACTAATAATTTAAACACACTAATTCACTTAATTCCACTCCGAAGCTTCGCTTGTGTCGCCGAGTTCAACAATAATATATATTAATATACTAGTCTAAAACAGAGGGACGGGGTGCATCCATAACTATGTCGTATTTGGTCGTTAATATACGTGACAACGTGGCTTTTTTGCGTTTGATTGACTACTTTAACATTGATTGCTATTAATTTGTGTCGACGAGTGGCTTGTGTAGCTAATTAAAGTTAAAATAAATTAGTTAAAGTGTACGAAGGAATTTTGCTTCGTCGTGTGGAACGTTGAACTTTGTGATCCAGGTCCTGATCGCGCGCGATTATAGTTCGTGCTAAGTGACGCTGAATTTGAGTTCCGATAGCGGTGAGCGTCTAGTGGAGTGGTCAACGCACTTGGTGCTGCTATCTGATTGTATCGGTGACGTCAGGTTACATGACACACCTTCCTACACTACACACACACTACCAATTACTTGCCCCTGACGCCACCTTGTGGTAGACCCTACACTTCTGGAATTCGGTAAGTTTTGTGTTTGCGTATATATTTTATTATCTAGCCGTTATAATTTAATTATCCATAGGCCATTTTGGGCCCGACCCTCTAGTTACTCGTCGAATTGGGTTACTGTGGGCCGTAGCTCAATCGACCTTTGTCGAGGTAACTCAGGGCCGTAACAACTGTAGCGCCGCGACGCGACTAAGATAAGTGATGATTGATTGTACAAAACTTTCTCGAAGACCTTGGATAATGCGGGCAAGACAGATGTTGGTCCATAGTTACCCGGATCTGTTTTAGTATCCGATTTGCGAATAGGACTTGATATTTTCAGTAGTAAGGCATTTATTTATGCATCGTGTTAGGTTTTCAGTCAGAAGGCTGGCAATACGTTTAATAGATTTAGTAGTTACTTCGTCAATGCCTGTACTCATTTCTGCGTCTAGATCGTTTATTATTTTAGAAAACTCATCTACAGTGCATTTGACCATTTCTGTTAATTGATCAATAGGACCCTTTTCATAAGTTAAAATATGTGCTGAATTAGTTTGGTAAGTTTTAAGGATTTGTTGTGATAGTGTGACACCGATAGACGAGAAAAAAATCATTAAATATTTCACATATTTTAAATTCATCATTAACAGTTTAAGTATTAAATATGTCTTGGAGGAGCACAAATGTTTTTGACTTTATTAATAGCTAGGGGTTTATTCATATCATTAAATTCCATGTTTTTAGCGGTTTTTTCATATTGTTTAAATTTGTTATAGTAGTATTTTTCTTGGGTACCCTTGATTAAGACTTACTCTGTTTCTTTCAGCTACAAATTTTTCTCTTTTTCCGGTCCGTTTTCTGTTGTTTCCATAGTAAATTTCTTTTGTGGATTTCTGTGAAAATTTTTTTCTTAATCCAATCCTCTTTAGATAAGTTTAGATTTTTTCTTTAGTGACTGTCCTTTCTTCAATGCTTATATTTAAAATCAAGTCCTCATAAATGTAGTTTTTATTTGCAAAGTTAGCTTAGTCTAGTACAATTGAGTATAGTCTATGGCTGTGTATTTTCTCGTGTTTTTGGTCTATGATTTTGATTCAGCAATTCAAGGAAAATCTGTTTGTGGTCGGCCATTTATAGTAAAGCAAGCTTGGTCTAAGATGGACTTCTTAGTAGCAGTTTCACGGGTGCAATAATCTATGTGTTTTATTTATAAAGTTGTATCCAGATTCTTGTAATATACCCATATATTTTGATTTCTCTGATTCATCAGAAAGCAAATCTATTTTTAAATCACCCAGAATGATTCCTCTTTTTCTTTTGTCTAATTAATCGGAAAATGTGACCAAAAAGAGGCCAGTGTAAGTAAGTTAATAGCTTTAATGTTGTGTATATAAATCCATAATTAATGTATACCTCTCTCATATATCTCTTCTGTAACTTCAAATGTAAGACTATTGGGGATATATATTGATACTCCTCCCCTATTTTGGTCAGATCGAAAGTTGTATGCATGCACGTACGTAGGCGGTCCCATAATGAATTAGCCTAACTATGAACCAATGAAGGAAATGAAACGAAACCAATTTTATTTTTCAATATTATCACCATGAATACTAACACACTTCTGACATCTGTGAATCAACATCTCTAAGCCTTTATAAAAATAATCACATTTTTTATCCTCAAAATGACTGAAGACGGCCGCCTGCAACTCTTCATCGCTTGAAAATTTTCTTCCTCTTAAGTTCCGCTTTAAATTTGGAAATAAATAATAGTCGGACGGGGCCATGTCTGGACTGTAAGGTGGATGTTGAACTTCTAGGAACCCGCATTGACGAATTGCATCCTTCGAAACACCAGCGGTATGAACAGGGGCGTTGTCATGGAGCAACAGGACACCTTTAGACAGCTTGCCTCTTCGTTTTTCCTTTATCTTGTCTCGTAATTTATATATTAAAGAAGCATAATATTCGCCGTTCACCACTGTATTACGTTCTTTAAAATCCACCATCAAAATGCCTTGAAAATCCCAAAATATTGTGCACATCAGTTTTTTAGTCGATTGTTGCACCTTTGCCTTTCTAGGGGGCTTTTCACCCTTATAACGTCATTCCATTGACTCGCGCTTGCTTTGTGGATCATAATACAAGATCATAGTTTCATCACCAGTCACTAGCCGCTCGATCACAGTCTTTGGATTTTCGCCACAAAGATCCAAAAACTCCGAAGCGCAGCGCACTCTTTCCTGTCTCTGTACCGCTGAAAGAAGTTTCGGTACCCATCTTGCACTCACTTTTTTCATGTGAAGATGTTCATGGATCGCGCGATGAACGGTACTCTTAGAGAGCCCAAGCCTTGCTGCAATTCCTCTAATCTTCAAACGGCGGTCACTCAGAACCTCCTCTTCGATAAGAGCAATCGTTTCGGGAGTGAGCACTTCCACAGGTCGACCGTCGTGGCCAAAGTCTTCGACGGTTTCTCTCCCGAGGCGAAACTCTTTCACCCAATTTTTCACTGTGCTATAGGAGGGGGCAGACTCCTTATACACGCCATCCAATCGTTCTTTTATTTGGGCAGGGGATAAACCTTCTTTAAACAGACACTTTATGACACTTCGCTACTCAGTTTTCGACATTTTGAAAAAACGCGACTCTCGTTATTCAAATGCCTGTTAAACTAAGACTAAGCATTTCATGTCGATGCATGTTTCTTGTATTAAGTGCATGATAAACGTACTATATAATGCAACACAACATGTAGCGACATGTCGCATTGAACTATATCAGGCCAGTTCATTATGGGACCGCCTGGTAGTTTTCAGTCAATCAATCAATCATTTTATTCGTTTTCACAGGTAACAAGGTTGACAATGTTATAATTTTATAGAACCTCCGTGAAATGCTTTAACAGCATACGAATTTGTGTATCCATACATCATAAAATGAAATATACAATGTGAAAAACAAATAAAAATAACAATTAAATTAAGTAGAGTCAAATAAAATTATTAAATTACATATTTAAATTATTAGTAAATAGAAATTCATTGACATTATAATAACATTCATCTATAAGAAATTTACTTAGAATAGATTTAAATTTTTGCACATTATAAACTTTATGTAATTAGGTAATTTATTATACAGGGTTACTGGAAACTCGACGTATTCCTGACTGGACGTGACAGAGGAATCAAAATGCAACAAATTTTACCTACATATTGTTACGCGCTAAAATCGGCGCACTAGCGCCATCTAGTCTCGAACCAAAGAACTAAACTTCTTGAAGTTTAAAACTCGAACTCTCGGTACCTTGCGCGTGTTTACTTGAACATTCTGGATATTTTGCTAATTTATATAAGTAGGCGCTGCAAGATGCGATCGGGCAGAGTTGAACTCGGCGACACAAGCGAAGCTTCGGAGCGGAATTAAGTGAATTAGTGTGTTTAATTATTAGTGTTTTTAGTTTTAATTTGTGTAAAGTAAATTAAAGTGTTAATTTAGGTAATTTTATCGGCAATTTTTATTGTCACGAACCTCAAGCTCGTAACAATATGTATAGCGAAATGAAAGTGGTTCCCAACATTTTTTTATTTTATATTTTTTAATAAATTACCCGGATTTCTTCATATTTACCAAAATTTAAAAAAATCTGCTTATTGAATGGTATTACTATTTACTTTTATTCAAAGTTGACAGTTAGATAAAGCTACAAAGCTCATTAGTATCTGAAATCACTTAACACTTTAAAGTCAAGAGCCAAAAATCAGTTTCAAAATTTTAAATTTTTAAATTGTTACAGGTTAATACTGACTCATATATCAAAAATTTACTATGGCACTAAGTGTACAAATCATTTAATTATCTTTCTCATTTAATAAACTATCTAAAAAGGTATGAATGTCAGTAGAAACTTATGAAGTACATAATACAATTCACATTTGACTTAGTAAATAAAGAGTAAAGAAAATTGACTTGAGGAGATGGTGTTGAATATGCACCAGCCATTGACGACGGTCGAGAATAATATTGAGGGTATGGTGTATGACGCTCATTTTATTTTTGACTGATTCTGTTTATAAACAACTCATCTATTTGGTACATCATAATTTTTCGTTCATCAGTTGACAGTTCACGTAGCTTTATAGCCAATAATTTTGCGTATAGATCGCAATCATCGTCTTTGTGAGCAGGTATATTTTCATTCTGCCTTTGACCCAAAACATTTTTTAATTGTCCAAAAGCCACGGCCATTTGCTTTTCAGCCGCTTCAGAAGCAGAGCGACGACGTTTATTAGTAACAGCTTGTATGGATGGTGATCTAGATGATGGTGTGGATGGTGTGGTAACCGTACTTGTACGGTCTCTTATCAGAGGGTCATACTCTGTCTGATCTGTATCTTCTTCTATTTGTTGTGATTGCTGCAAAAAAATAATATACTTAAACTTACACTTCATTTACTTTGTTTTTATAGATGCCCACCACAGCAGAAGGATGGTTTAATATAGAAGAAGGATTCAGGACTAAATTTTCACATTGCATAGGTGCATTGGATGGCAAGCATGTAGTCATAGAAAGCCCAACGCATAGTGGAACAGAGTATTTCAATTATAAGAAAACTTTTAGCATTGTCCTTTTGGCTTTAGTGGATAGCAAATACAAATTTGTATTCGCAGACATCGGGAGTCAAGGAAGAATAAGTGACGGCGGCGTCTTTAATAATTGTTTACTATGGAAAAGCATAATTAGAAACGAGATAGATTTTTCACCACCATGTCCACTTCCAGGATCAAATATTAATATTCCATACGTGTTTTTAGCTGACGGTGCTTTTGCATTGAGTCAACACGTAATGAAACCCTACCCCGGAAACCATGAAGTAGGCTCACCAAAAAGGTTATTTAACCAAAATGTATCTAGATCCCGAGTTGTAGTTGAAAATACGTTTGGAATTTTAACCTCAGTTTTCAGAATATTCAGACGCCCTATCAATTTAGAACCACAAACTATAACGGAATTTACGATGATTTGTGTATTACTACATAAATTTTTGAGAACAAGTAAAAGTTCTTCAAATCGATACACTCCTCAGAGTTCGTTTGACGTATATGACAGTAGTGGAAATATGGTTACCCCTGGTTCATGGCGTAGAGATAACGACGAATATAATGCATTGCAAAATTTACCACAAATACCACGTAAATCTCCGGTGAACGCCAGAGAAGTCAGGGAAGAATTTACTTCATATTTTAATAGGATTGGATAAGTTGATAAAAATGTATAAATAAATGTAGGTATAATAACCAACGGTGTTTTTTTTATTTAGAATAAATAAATTTATTTACTTACTGTTTCGGTGTTTATCCCTTCACTGCAAGTATATACAGGTAGTAAAAATTACTCCATGGTTTCGTAAGCATACCAAGTTGGATTGTATATTTCTTCGGCACCTAAAATAAAATAAAAACATCGAGAGAGTTGCGGAATAATCGAGAAACTAACCAACGCTTTTAAACATAAGTTACACCTTGCTAAGCAGACTATCAAAATAATTATAAGTGTATTGTAGGAACATACCTGCGCCAGAACGCATAGATTCACGTTTTTTTTCAAGTGCTTGCGAAAAGTAGTCATCAATATCTCCTTTTTATTTTTTATTTCCTTTACTGGCCTTCCAGTAAGTTCAGCAAGACGAATCCATGCATCTGCTTGTTTCTTCTTATCTTTATGATTTGCATCTTTCGGTTTCCAGATGCATGGTTCCATTTGGTAATGTTCCAGAAACGAAAGACTCTCCTCATTCGACCAGCAACTCATTTTTTATTTATTTTTTGTAAAATCAAGCAAGCGTGTACTTGCCGCGAGATCACAATGGCTACTAAACGCGGACCAACATGTAAATGCATAGCAAGCGCCTGCCGCAAACGCCCTTTGATCTGCGTAAAAAAACCGACACTCGACTGGATCGGAAGCAAGCAGGCACAAGCCCACGCAAGCCAAGCCAAACGCCCTTTTTACATGCTTGCGATTGTCGATCCTTGCCAAGGCTTGGCAAGCGTGTAAACGTACCATAAGATGTTGTTTTGGCTTGGTGTTTGATCGGCATATAATCTGAGACTGGCTTGCAATTTCTGTTTGTTCCGTAATAAGTACCTTATAATGTCCGAAGAGTGGAAGAATACTTTTATAGGATGAGTTTTATCATGAAAGTATTTTCCCTATCTTAAAGTTTTCAGAGGTTTTGGGCAATCTGTTTTAATTTGTGTGAATGTTTTAATAACTTCATTTAGGTTGTGTTGTTGTCTCATGGTTGTATCTTTATTATTTAGTTCTGGAACTCCAAGCAACACGAACGTTTTTCTTATGTTTACAGCGGTCTTAAAATTCTCTAATAATGTTTTCATAGAAATCAGTAAGAGAGTTTACATCTGTAAGATGTGAAGATCCCACCTCATGATTTTTCAATAAGTTGACATCCTTTTCAATATTTACGTTTTTTGCTGTATTTCAGAGCTCTCGGTTTTGATGCTAGTTAATTCGTTATGTATATTATCATACGTCAGAGATAAGTTTTCAGTTGCCGTTTTTAAGGTTTTCATTTCATTTTCAATTTTATTTCAATCCTGACGTATGTTTGTGGTATCCTCTTTTTGTGCTTTAGCAAAATCTTTGAAAAATGCCATTATTTCGTCGCGGAACAAATTAATCTGTTCATTTTCTTGAGACTCGAAATCCGGGTGCTTTCTCTTTCTTTGGGTTACAAATGCATTATTATCTTCCTGAGTTAGTGAATGTAGATCTGGGCTTGAACTGTTTCCACTACTACTCATACCTAAGCCGCTTATCGGTGAGTATTGCACGCTCATATTATTGTAATCTGTATGTCGTTGACGTGTAGTATCTTATTTTCTTTAATAATATTGCAAACAAAGTAAACAACTCAGGCGAGTCCTTGGGTGGTCAGGCAGGATCGTAGCAGAGACGTCGCACTTTTAGGTATGTGAACAATAATACATTTAAAAATTAATGATTCGATTATTTGAATATTTTTACAGATTATTTGAATATTTTTGCCGATTATTCGCATAACAATGAATTTTAATCATCCAAACACTACGGTAAGGTACATAGCGACATATCATTGAAACGACGTCGAGTAAAAAAGTTGATACTGATAATTTTTTTAATATTTCGCTTTGTTTGAAAGATTCGAAATTAAATTAGTGATAAAAAACTATACACATTATAATGAAAAATAGATAACTTTATAATTCTTCGGATTTACGTAAACGGTTATTTTAAATCGTGTGAGGACGCTTGTGCAAAGTTATTGCGGAATGATTCATGTGAAACTTCTGAGGCCAAAGGAACACAGAATAAGACAAGTGGTGTCTGTAGTATTTTATAGGTTTTTGTAAGGCCTTTAAGCCTTTCTATGGGTACCCTTTGACTTACGAGTCTTTGGTCAGTTTGGTTGGTTTGATTTGGTTTTTAATACTGCAACTGGTAACTGTGATTTACCTCAAGAAAGTAGGTATGTTAACAGCAATATTTTTTGAGCAAACAAGTCTTGCATATTAAGCCCTCTATCTGCCATTATACTGTACCCTTCATCACACAAATTTAACTATGAGCTACGTTCAATCATTTGCCGGTCACTAGTTGCTCCCCCTTAACCTTCAGAACAATAAGACAGGAGAGCCCACCACAACTTCATAGTGTTGGTATTTTATCAGTGCTGTAAGTGGCTCTCCGGGATTTATTTTTATTAATTATAGGATCTCAAGCACATGGTAGCACCACAAACACAAGCATGGTTAACTTGGGCTCCTCTGCCCGCGGCTGCTTATGGTGCGAGTACACACGGGTGCTTTACTTGTTATTTTAATTCTTCATTAAAAAGTGTTTTTTAGTAGTAAATATTTGACTTGCGTATGAACCGGTAGTATATCACAGTGCTAGAAGAGCATACTATCATCATTAAGAAATTGACGTTGAATTTTGTCTGTTACAATATTTTTAAGGATTCTTATCTGAAGGTTATATATTTTGTTTAGATAAATTTTAAATGTGCGACCATAGTTACCAAAACCATACTGTATACACGATTCTGCCAGAGAGTTGTATAACATCATCTTAACTGGGAACGGTATTCTGTTCTTCAGTATTATAATATTAGCTAAGAATTGTCTTAATTTGTTACAAACATACTCGATATGGTAATGCTAAGTTAAGGGGTAACCCTGACCAAAATGTTGCGAAAGTGCGTTTTTCAGACTCTATTATCTCATTAGTTATGAAAAATAAACTTCATCTAAAAGTACATTATTAATGTTCGATATCTTATCATCACATTCCACGTTCTACTTTATTTTTATGTGCTATAAATACATTTAAAATCAACTTTTAAAAAATTACTAAAATTCTTGATTACATGCATCTGTTGCTAAACGCAACGCTCTAATCGTTTGAGGATTACACTAATGGATAGATAATTAAAAAATCTATATTCTCCACGTTTTATTTAAATTTTTAAGTTCGTTTTTCTTTATTAATTCAAATAATTCCGAAAATTGTGTGACTTCTATGATAAAGGGCCGTGCGCAGAGTGCGGGCGGCATTACGCTGTATGCGTTTGAACGGGGTGGCCGTGTCACTCGTCGTCGTCGTCGACGTTCCGTATTTCGCCGCAAACATAATATTATTTGAGTACCTACCAACCGATGCGCTTACGTCACGGTGATATTATTTATACAGTATTGTAACTCGGCCGTATATTTGAAATAAATCCTACAGCCGTGCGGTACGTAAACATGCGATAGGGCTGCCTGCCTCCAGCATTTTTACATTGGCCTACTTTGTGTTTCCATTTAGTTTTATGATTGTAAATATACTTTTTATATAAACAAATAAAATAGGTAAGTACTTTGTGAATTGAATAGGAAGTGTTCAATAAAAATGCGTGTTGTTTTTTAATTGGTAGATTTAATTAAAAAACCATGTTTATGTTTGAATAACAAATCGGTCCTATAAATTTGCGGCCGAAAAATATTTGCACCTCGGCTGAGACGTACGAAATGCTTTATTATTAAAATTTTAAGTATAAAAAATCCGCATTATAATATAAAGCTTAATTAAAAATTGTTTTGGGAAACATGGACAAGTTGGAGTAAAGGAATATCTTTTACTTGGTTATAGATACCTGCAGCTACTTTACAATTTATATGTTTGGTTTTAAATGAAGTTTGGATTTATTATTTTTTATTTCTATTCTATTTTCTGAAAGGGTCCTAGGAAAGGAATTGTCCACCGCGCTCTCCAATGCGTGTTGGCGAACTTCGCATGTCTTCGAAATATTTTTTTTCTTATTTCTCACAACGTTTTCCTTCACCACTGAGCACGTGGTAAATCAACACTTAAAATTGCAATTACAATTTCATTGGTGCCGGCGGGGATCGAACCCGGTTTGCTCGCGCACTGTGAAAATTTCAGCAAGCGCTAACCATCTGAGCTACCACGGCTCTTCTCCTCTCGAGCTAGAGAATTTATTTTATTTATGGTACGATTTTTGTCGTTCACAGACGTTTCACAATTTTTTGCCAGAACCAAAAGTAAGCGCTGGCATGCGGCAAAAATCGTACCATAAATAAAATAAATTCTCTAGCTCGAGAGGAGAGGAGCCGTGGTAGCTCAGATGGTTAGCGCTTGCTGAAATTTTCACAGTGCGCGAGCAAATCGGGTTCGATCCCCGCCGGCACCAATGAAATTGTAATTGCAATTTTAAGTGTTGATTTACCACGTGCTCAGTGGTGAAGGAAAACATTGTGAGAAATAAAATATGTATACAGGGTGTTAGTGTAAACACCGTTGTCCTTGAAACCAGTGGTTTGGTATCACTTATAGAAAGTAATTTCAATGAAAAATAACATTTTTTTAGTCAAATCTCAATTTTTTCTTACAATTATTTCACCCTAGGCAAGTAGGGATATACCTACAGAATTCACAACAAAAAACTCAACATATCGTAGGTAGCGGCAGCGATTCGCGGTCAAGGCCAATGTCACTGTGTCAGTGTGTCAGTCTCTCGCTGCGTCGGTAGGGAATGTACGTGTTAATTTGATTTAAAACCGAGCCGCGCGCCGTGCCGACATTCTACGTCGCTTTATGTTGTAGTTTTGGTGCGAGTGTATTTTAGTTTGTAATTATGTCCTACATAAACGTGCAGTGGAAATGTGCCTCTTCGTTCACTGAGAAACCTCTACTACCAACATGACGGTGCCCCAGCACATTTTCAGCTGCAAATCAGGGCTATGCTGGTTGAGGAGTTTCCTGGGCGATGAACCGACCTTACCCCACTGGACTTTTATCTTTGGGGAGAAGTGAAGCGCCGAGTGTATGCAACTAAGTTCCGTAATACGTCCGAACTCAAAAGGCGAATTCTTAGTGTATTTAGAGAAATGACGCTGTTGTGCTTCTAGCTTTTACGACTAATATAAAAGCTGATCAAAATGGAATTCATTTACGAGGATTTTATTTAATAGGTAAGTGTAAATAACCAATCAATCAGGCTACACATCAAGCTATACAAATCCTTTGTCTTGGCCTCGCTTTGTATGATCTTTCCGTACAATGAACGGTCAGCTTATGCTTCAAATGCCCTTTGCGTTCCAGGGCCGCGGTACGGTACGGTAAATACGCCAAAAATCCTACCTAATGATTTACTATTTACTATTATTAATGTTTAATTTTCTTTGTTGTTAAATCTAACTTACATTAATTTGGACTCGTCACGCAACACAAAGGGTAGGAATTTTTAT